TTTGGTAAACCATTGATTCTCAAGAGCTTTTTCATCAAATCTTGACCTATAATCTTAAGTCACATTCTCCTTAATTATCATTCAATATGATTTGATCAAAGATAGCTCAAAGTTTGATAGCTTGTTTATCAAGAAACTTCAAGGTTCATGTGTTTATTTCCACAGCTTCTTCATCAAGTTTCTTCAAGATTTGACCAACATTCAATCAAATTTCAATCAAGGTTTCATAATTTGAATTCCATATGTGCATCAATGTGCCTTGAGTTGCAAGAAAATCTCAAAAGATTCAAGTTTGATCAAGGTGGTTTGACCAAAAAGTCAACATTTCAAGTCCAAGTTCAAAATATCACAACTCACTCATTTTTCAACATTTTTAGTGCTTCTTTGGGAAAATGACTCTTCTTGACATCCTCTATAACTTCTCTTTATAAGTCAAGAGAAAATTATACTTGAAAGACCTCAAGTGTATTTTTTCTAACTTCTAAAGATCATAACTCCTTCAATATTCAACATTTTTGAGTGATTCTTTTCTGAATAATATCACATTTGATGCCCTCTACAAGTTTTCTTCAAATATCAAAGGCCAATTATACTTGGAAAGTCATGAAAAATTTGATGACATTATAAGTCATTTTGGAGTCAAAAAAATTTTGACTTCTAATTTTAGGCCACGGTACCAACTTCACAATATCATAAATTTTTGCTCAAGCATCTAAATCAATACTTTCTTGTCACATTGTACTCTCTATGATGGTGTGATCATTTTGTAAAAAGAATGAGGAATAAAGATTGATTGCGCAAGATTTCATAAAGGTTGAAAGTGGGCTCCATGAAACTGAATTTTGCACTACGGTCAGAATTTCAAGTTCACTAATTTGCAAAATGAAGCCAAGTTACCACGTGATTTGCACTATAATCATGTTAAGGGATGTTTACCAAGAGAAACGACTTGAAATGGCCAGATTTAGCTGCATTTTAATCACACTTTCAAGCAAGCTTTGCAACACATTTTGCTCACACGGTTTGGCATCATTTGGATCATTTTCACACGTACAAACTTTGTATCATACTCCCTATAAATAGAGAAACGTATTGGATTCATTTCCAAGCTTAGACATCCTCCCAAACCTTTGTTACAACTTCAAATTTCTTCCAATTTTGCAGAAATCATATTTACTTTTAAGCCCATCCAGCTACATTTTCTTGATTCCTTTAGAACCATCAGTCATTTCTGAAGCTATTGCAACCATTCCCAAGCTTTAAGATAATTTGAAGCTTGATAACCAAGTGAACCTACCATCACTTCTGGTCACCACTTCGAAGAGGTAGTTTCAGGATTCCATTTCACTCATTTGAGATACCGCAATGTAGCCTATGATTTACTGATGCTTTTCCCTAACTCACTTTGAATTGATTGCTTGAGTTCATCATTTAATTTTAAAATTTGTTTTCTAAAAATCTTTCGTCTTTTCCAAAATTCGCTTCACTGAGATTAAATACATTTGTATTGATGCCATGGTGAGATTCGCACTGATGAAACAATCATAATGGTATAGGTTTTGAACCCTAACTTTGCCATTTTAAGATCTCCAGTGACATCTCATTGGAGAAGATGATCAAAGGTGCAACTAGTGGCCTGGATTTGTTTTCAAACAATCCAACCAATCAGACACTGTCAATTGTTTTGATTTGAGTGGTTGGATTTAAATGAGATCTAATGTTTTTACTTTAGTAATATCCACCATGCGCCTTAACCTCTAGACCTTTGAATCTGCCACGCCAATTAATGAGGCCATATCCAACGCCTCTTCTTTTTTCTAATTTGACTTTATTTTCCTTATTTTATTTTAAATTAATTTTAACTTTTAAAATTGATTTTAATTTTATTTTAACTCCAAAAATAATGAAAAATTCAAAAAAACTATTTCTGATTATTTAACACATTGTGTATTTTTTTCTTCAGATTTTTATTTTCATTTTTAATATTTTATTTGAATTTTCTCATTATTTTTTTGTTTTAATTGGTTTAAAATTAGTTTTCTGATTTTAAAAATATTCAAAAAATTCTAAAAAATACTTGGAGTCATTTCTGGTTTTTTCTGTGGTTTTATTTCCCATTTGTTTGATATTTTGATTATACTTTATTATTTTACCTTTTATTTTCATTTTTAAAATCAATTTTAAAATCTTTCTCATGCATTTTAATTGCATTTATTGCATTTTTATATTTGTTTGACTTGTGTTGATTTTTGTTGATCTTGTATCATGACTCATTTGATCATAAGTTTCATCAACATCAATGGATCTTGGATGTTGATGGGGTGAAAACTCTAATCCACCAAAATTGATGATTGATTTTGACGATGACTTGATCAATGTCTTGATCCAAATTAGAATATGCTCTCTATCTTTATCTCCTCTTCTTTGATTCTTGCCTTTGGATCAATGGGATGATGATGAATTCATCTTGTTCAATTAGATTTGAATTGGGGCTTGATGAATTTTTATCATTTCAAATCTACCTCTAAGTGATCAATTGACTACTCAAGGTATTTTGGATTAGTGTTTTTCTCAAGATATCATGAATGACTTGATTGATGTAATGATCTCGTCTTCTTGACTTAGTCTTGACCACCTTGGTTTTAAACCATGGTATACATTCTATACAATACACCTACATTAAGTTCTACATAAGTTCATTTACAATTGCTTAACATAGCGCTAAATTGTCCCGAATTAGAATACTAATTACTAACATTAACAATAATTGTACTAAATTTAATTTTCCGCACTTTTACATTAATGCCATTTAAATTCCGAACTTTACATTTATGTCATTTAAATTCGCGTAATTTACTTTTAACATTTTATCATTCATGTCATTTACTTTATGCCTTTTATTTTTATTGTCTTTTTCTCTTTGTCCCTTGGATATTTTCTTTTTTCTTTTTTAAAATACACTAATAAATATCAAACGTAAAAGACTTAATGTGATCTTTGGACTATGGTTACTATCTTTTGCTTATGGATGTTGGACTTGTGGACTTAGATTTAGGTTCTTGATCCTATGCTCCAGAGTTCTGATTTGAGACCTTGGGATTAATCTGAGACCTTAGGAGATTCATCTGATACTTTGGGTTTTATCTGTTTATTTTTGTGTGTTTTGTCTAATGCAAAAACCATTATTTGTGACTTTGGGGTTTCATCTGATGCATGAGAGTTCATTTGTGTCATGAGATTCATCTGATGTTGTGCCTTCATCTGAGACATTAAACTTTCATTTGATGCTTATGATGTTCATATGTTTACTTGTTGTGTTGTGCCCTTGATCCAAAGGAATGAGATATTTTGTTTGACTTATGTTAAGTTACTTACACTATCTTGGTCAGATCTTTTTATTTTCTTACTTTTACTTTATGCTTTAGGATAGTCTCTTCATCTCTTACTTATCTTCTTTAATTTTCAAAATCTTCTCACTTTTTCAAAACCTTCTTGTTTTCAAACTTGAAAAAAATTTCATAATAAATCTTAACTTTGTCAAGCGATTTTCAATACGTCTTTTCTTAATAAATTCTAAGACATCTTAAGCATATCAAAATATTTTCAAAAGGCTAAAAAACACAAAACTCATTCAAACCTTTTGCCACTTAGTTTTTCACTTTAAAATATTTTCTCAAAGATTAGATATTAGTCTTGTTTTAGAAGTGATTGCAAACCATCCTACTTCTATAAACATGGCAAAGTGTTAGACATTTTCCATTGATATATTGAAATATGACTTGTTGATTCTAAATCCAAGTTGTAAATTCTCTATATTCAAGATGATGCAAATGCTCACTTTCCCGTAGTTGTTGATAGTATGTTGTGTTTTCCACTCAGATAAGACAACATATATTTTCATTAAAATCAATCCACAAATAAATTTTGTTCTTTTTTTAGAAGAACTACGTGGTTCTGATTTTTCCATTTTACATTGGAGGAACGTAACTCTCAAAGTTTTGCCAAATTAAAATCATAAAGACAATTTCTTTTCTCTCTAATCATATTGCAAACAACCGTTTTTAACCAAACACAGATTTTCGGTAGGTTCTCATAGACTATCATGGATGTGAAGGAAGCTAATATTTTCTATTTTCATAATCAACTCTCATACCCTATTCTCTTGTGCTTTACTTTTTGCTTTACATGCTTTTGTGGATTTTATTCAACGTTTTCATATTCTTTAGTAAATAATAAAGTTCAATAACGATTCTTACTTTTTTTATTGATATAAATTAATCAATAGTTTATTTTTAAATATTTTCGCCGTGACAACATTGCCATTAACAAATGATCTAGTTTCATCATAAATTATGATTAAAAACAAGTAATTAGGGGAAAATTTTTTAGTAACTCAAAAGTGACCATCATGAGATAATCTGATTGTATTTGCAATGTATCGATTTTTTTTTTGTTTATTTAAAATGAAAAAATTGAAATACTTCGATGCTTATCAATGACATGTCATGGACTATCCATATATTAAGTGCGATTTTGCAAAGATTTCAGCATGTTAGTGTTTTATTGCCAGCTATTCAACTTGAACCCAATATAAACAGTGGCAACAATTCACGTATTCAGCTTTGGATTCAACCCTTGCACTTTTGGAATTAAATTACACATTTGAGGTTACCTAGTCTTGGAGTGGCAAACATGAACACGGTTCTTTTATTAAATTAATTCGACAATCTCCAACATGAAAACATTCTTGGCTTGTTTCAAACAAATATTCCTTAATTCAATAATAAACAAACGAGAAACCCTTGTAAGAAGAAAACATAAAGCACTCTTTAAAAAATATTTGTAATTACTGTTTAACCCAAAAACTCATACCTAGAATCCTTCCATGCAAATGTTCACACAACATGATCAAACATTGAACACGTGTCACATCTTAGTAGCACCAAACAACAAATATCTGATGGTGATATGGTGGTTCATAGATTGATAACTCTCTGAAATCAAATGGGGAACAAACATGTTCTTGAGGACAAAGGAAACAGGAAAAAGAAACACTGCTCTGTGAATGCAAGAGACAAGGATTGTTCATGTTCTAGTGTGGTCTCTCCTAAGGAAAAGCCAGGTTGCAGATACAAAGAAAAATTGGTGGAATATTTTTGTAGTTGTTGTTTGCTATGTGTTTGTTGTCCACTAGCCACTGTCTGTTGTTGCCTCATGCTACCATGTAGAGTCTTTCGTAAAGTATTGCGGTGGGCTTGTTTTAGATCAAAGAATAGGGTTTTTCCAGATTACTCTTCCTTTTCTGACATTGATCAAGATGTTACCCTTGGTAAGGCTAAGCTAACCTAGTAGTTTTAAAGTAACATAAGATAGAAAAACAAACTACATAATTAAATTAAACTTGTATATTTAGTCATTAAATTAAGGTTTTAGTATCTTAGATTAACTTGGTCATACCTATGTCTTAGATTAACTCGGCCATTTTAATTTTTAATTTTTTATCTATTAATTTATTTAATCTGAAATTAAAAAAAACAACACATAGTAAAAAAAAATCATTTTGCTAACTTAGAATCAATTAACTAGCTTAGGCCTATGTGTCCTCCACTGATTACCTTCTATATATGCATTGAAGCTAGAGATCTATGTGTTGTCTATATTTGTACTTTAGTGTTAATTAGTATTTAATTAGTCATTTGTAAACATTCTTGATCTAGAAAAAAGTATAACTTGTTGTGACTATATATTAGGCATACCTCTTTTCAATTGGTCTTGTCATGAAGCTAAGTTTTGCTAGAGCTCACATGGCCTGCAGCATGGAAACTCTTATCTTGAGTCAGTGGCCATTGTCACATTGTTTAACTAGTGTAAAATTTTCATTGGAAATTATATCTAGAAATCCAAATGGTCCATCTACATCTTGACGATAAAAGAAATAGAAAGAGTGTAATAGATGTAATATATTGATGATGTGACAAAGAAAAATAGAAAGAAATGAAATGTTGAATTAGTAAAGGAGAGTTATGATAGTGGAAATATAATCAACTATTTTAATTTGAGTTTTTGTTTAAAAAATAAGTTAGAGGACACCTCATTCCGGGACACTTATTTTAAACTTAATTTAAAATTAAGAAATTCTATTTCATATATGAAGTAAAATATGTTTTGACCATCGTCTTTTTTAGTAAAACTATTAAAAATATGGATGTAAAATTTGATACAACTATAAGACATAAAACAATTTTTAGTTGTTTGTAAGTCGCATATGTTTAAGACTTTCTCTTTGATATTTTATTGATGGGTTAAGTCAAATATATCACTAGTAGAATATCCTACTATCCTAAGATATATTCATTTATTTCATATTAATGAAGTTTGTCTTGTTTGTCATAAGGCATGTTTGAATGCATTTGGGAAATACACAGTTTATTGTAGGATGCTTTCAAGCTTCAAATATCAACGTGACCTCGTTACAAATGTCTTGTTTGATATATTACGGCGAGTCGGAGTATCTTAGAAGAAAGAGGTGCTTGTGAATTTTTTGATTGACCCATATGAAGGGAGATCGACACTTAGGCCAACAAATATTTTTGTGTAGGTGTGGGTAGGAGAGAAAGGTACTTATGTGAATTTGAATGGAGTTTCTTCACTGGTGGGACTGAGGACCGATGATTTTACTCGAGACATGCATCTCTCAAAGCTACTTCAAGTAAAGTGGTCAAATACGAGAAAAAGTGTTCCGACAATCAACATATTTTTATACTATTTGCCTTTGACACTTTAATTTTCTAAAATCAGAACCAGCTGATCTTTTACATAAAGTTCAAAGACTTATGAATAACAATGATGTATCTCATACACTGTTGTACCCCAAAATTTGCCCTCTCATTTCTCAAAAGATCATTCTAGGCCCTCAGGTTTGCTTATGTCAAGTTTCAAGTCTCAGATTACAATTTTCTAAAGAAAATCATTTACAAGGGAAAAATGGTCAAATTCACACTGAAAAGTCAAACTTTGACTTTTGAATCAAAAATCAAGTTTTAACAATCACATTTCATCAAGACATTAAAATTAGTTCATCAAAATCAGAAGTCAGAAATTACTTTGAAAAAAATCAAATTTTCTAAGCATTTAGAAAATTTTCTAAGTGTTAAAAGGATATGATACTTCAGAACTTCTGGGCCAGCTTCCACGCAAGTGCAGTCAGAATTTGCAAACACAGTTCATAACATGGTGCTTCAATCAGAACATGTGGAAGCGATGTTCTTCGGTCAGAACATGATTCTTCAGCATATAAGGCTATGTTCAACGCTTCGGTCAGAACATCACCCTTCGAGATTCATCATGGTCTCCTGCGATCAGAACAACACCAAATCTCAAAACCTCGTTTAAATAACTTGCTGCCCTGCTGTGGCACGGTCCTGCAACTAACTGTTGATCCAGTCCACGCCTGCACTTTCTCAAACCCCATATTTACACCAAATTAGCATACAAAAGCTGTGATTAAAAAACAATGGAACAGTATTCCAAAAAGGTTTAAATCCCATTTTCTTTCCCCCAAAAACCACAGCAAATTCACCTATAAATAAGTTGCTTCATCACACTTTAAAGGGGATGGGTTTTGAGGAGAGAGAGAATTATCAAAGAGAGAACAGAAAACAGTAAAAACCTTCGCAAACCCTAAACAAAACCTTTGTTCTTCCCTTTGAATCAAAGAACTTAACCATTGTTCCATTTCTCTCATTGACTCCAGAGCATCTGAAGGCAGCAACTCAAGTTCCAAGCCCATACTCCAGATTCAAGGTAAATCTTTCTGACTTTGCATCTTTTCATTCAGAACATCATTAAATATGTAAATACCATAGTATTGATGTTGTCCATATCATTACATAAGTAGAAAAGTATGGACCATAACTTCTTGAACAAAGCTAGGCTCAGAATTAGAATTAGAACTTCTATAAACTGTTGTTCTTTTATCCTTCTGATTTGTTGTTAAGGACTGAATAAATTGCTAATGTGATGATTAATATGAGGAAAGAGTTGAAATGTAACACATAAGTTCTGAGATCTCCTCACCATTTTAACACACACAGAAATTCTTATTTTCACTCGCTATTAACACACACTGAACTTCTGGTTTTCACTCACTATTTTAACACTCAAAAATTCTGATTTTCACTCGCTGGTAACACACACTAAACTTCTGGTTTTCACTCACTGTTTTAGCACTCAGAACTTCTGATTTTCACTCAGTGTTAACACACACTGAACTTCTGATGTTCACTCACTGTCTTAGCACATACTGAACTTCTGAGTTCTCCTCACTATTTTAATACACAGAACTTCTAAGACTTTATCACTGTTCTAACACTCAGAAGTTCAGCACGTAGCAACCCAGAACTTCTGTGTTTTCCCTCTAACATTTCTTGCAGGACCTAAGAGTGTATCAATCCAGAACGTCTGATTCCCTCTGACGTTTCTTTCTGAATCACAGCGCGCCTGGCATCAGAACTTTTAATCCCCTTTGTTTTGCTTTCAGCAGCATGCTGATTCAATCTCTCATTATTTTATCCTTTTTTTTTATCATTTTCAAAATTAACACCCTTTTATTAATATAAAAAAGACATAAATTTTTTCTTTTTTTGTTAATTAATTTATTTCTTTTTAATTCATTTAGACAAAAAACCATTTTAAAAAAAATAAGTTCTTTTTCTTTCTTGCATTATACATTTCAATATGGTTGTAATAGTTAATTAGGATTTATATTCTTGCAACCCCCCATTTGTAACTTTATATCCCCATCCCTAAAAATGATGTAATAGCGTATGACCTTTACATTTCCGCAATTTATTATTTTCAAGTATAAATGCTAGTAATTAGGGTGTGTATGGAAAGACATGAAATCAACAAATAGATAACCCTAATCAAGACTAAATGCATGTAAATAAAACACACTTGCACACTAGCACCCTTAGGGTAATCCCACTTTGTTGCCATTCGGAAAATAGTCACGTCCCTCGAACATGGGCGTTTTAGCAAAGACCCTCGATAAAAGATTGTAGTCCCTCGATGACCCTGGATGTTTCCTTCGGTAAACGATCTAATCCCTAAAACGACATTGCTAAAACGTCCCATAGGTTGCCTTCTATGACTATACAAACGTCCCATGCCCGTCCCTTCACATCCAACGATGGGTTTCTTACCAAAACAATGGTAAGATAGCAACATCTAAAGGAGGAGGAAAAGAACATCTAAGACCTTTTGAGTAGGTAGATTACTCCTAGTTGCTCGCTTGCTCACAACAAAAACATTTTATACACCAACACTCTCATTTTGAAACATTTTCAAAAGATAACACTTTGTACGTGTTCTTATAGAAACGAGAGCCATTACAAAGACACATTTTCAAAATCACTTTCAAAAACACACTCCATAGACACCTCTTTGAACTATTTTCGAAACAACACTTTGTACGCAGTCTTATAGAAACGAGAACCATTACAAAGACATTTTCAAAATACTTTCAAAACCCACACCACAAGCACATTCAAACAAAAGCAAGTAATCTAGCAAGAAACTAAGAGTCCGTAGATAACTACGGATGAAAAGGGTGCTAATACCTTCCCTTTTCATAATCTACCCCCCGAACTCAGAAAACATCTCTAAAGGTCTTTCCTGTTCTTTTCAGCCTATCCTTATTGGATAAAAGAAAAGTTAGTGGCGACTCTTGCTATCCGCAACAATTGCGATCAAACTCAAAACAACCAAGTCAGTTCTCCCACCGTGTTACATACACCTATGAATATAATTTTTCAGATGATTAGTTTTGTCATCTAAAAGAAGTAGTGACACAACTTATTTCCTATTTGCCTTCTATTTATATCTAAAATTTATTTTTATCAATAGTATCTATATACACTTAAGAAATGAAGTAATGTAAAAAATAAAGAGCATGGTTAAATAAATCAATTGTAAAATAGATGATATGATTGAGTCTTTTGAACAAAAAAAAATAGCAATGTTAACATTTTAAGAGTGTGTTATTATCCATGTCATTCCATCATAGTAGAGTATTCTAATTTATACCTAGATTCAGAAAGATCTAGAACTTTTAGTTACAATAGGAATGACGAAGGACACTTTGATGGCTACTATTGTTTGCTTGTTTGTGAAGATGAAGAGCGTAACTATAAACACTCCAATTATCAAATTAGTA